AACAGAATTGAATATATATTATAATTTTTGATTGGCTGATATATCAGAAAAATAAATATCCAAACTTTTCCTTTCCCCTCCCAGTTCAAGCTAAACATAAAAGCAAAGAAGAAAGTAAAATTCTTTGTTCTGGTTAAAGCTCTCAGAGCTCAATTGTTGACATTGTCCTTTAAAAATGTTTCACAAAATATGAATAAATTCAATTTATCACCAATTATTTGTGGTCTATTAAAAATTGCTTTATATTTTTTTCATTTAATCAACTAAATTCCAAAGTATTTGAGATATTAGTTTTCATTATGATTTTTATAACAATGGAAATTGAAAGCAATTCAGGAACTTTTAATGAAAACTCTCTTCAATGCTCTATTTCTCAGCAGACTGTCTTAAATTCCACAAGACAAGTAAGTTTCTGCTGCAGGTGCAAAGGTTGCAAGAATTTGCTCTTTTGCCTTGCTTGCAGTAATCATGGCTAGTACTTTATTGAATTCCAAGGCAGCAAAGTAAGCTCTGTGTGTGTGTGTGTGTGTGTGTGCAGGTGTGCAAGTGTTGCCTGTTCCTGGCTGCACTGTTTTTCTTGCCACCCGCACACACGCCAGGCACATAGTTGCTCAGGCTTCGTGATATTTGCGCTGCTCTATCACAAGAAAAACGTAGCGTTGGCAAATGCAAAAAACCATAGCATACTTTGGGGCGAGGGCAGCCGCAAAGTGGATTCCTTTATCAACAGACGCCGACTTCCGGTTGGGGCAATCTCGATGCGGATATATTAAACTTATTTTTACAGCAACTCTCTGCTCTCTCACTCTCTTGTTCTCTCTCTTTCTCTTTCTCTTTCTCTTTCATTGCTGTGGCGACTCTGTAGGTCGTCTTTCAGCCGCTCATTACTTCATATATACTTGTATTACTTTCAGCTGCGCTTTTGCCATCTCCTTCGTCTTTGGCGGACTTCCTGGACTTTGGCATCAGTTCCGGCCCGTGGCGCAGATTTAGTGGTGGCGATAAACTTGCCACCCCCGGGCACTTTTCAGCACTGGCAGACATAGCATGGGCAGAGGACACTGGGCGGGTTGCCATGGTTGGAATGTGAGCTTAATATTTCTCAACTTGAGGCGCTTGCCACTTCCGCACATGCTTTATAAGAAAGCATACACAAATACACACCCGACACCCACACACACACACACAGGCAGACAGAGTAAGGTTTTTCGTTTTATTGCTCAGCATTTTATTGCATAAATTTTAATATTTATTTTAGATGTTGGTTTATTTTTCACTCTGCTCTCAGGCAATGCCAAACACGACTGTGTGTGCTTTTGTATGTGTGTGTGTGTAGCATATGGAAGACGTACAGTTGCATATATTTTTCTATTGCCTGTGCAATATTTAGTTGACTTTTTCTCTGAAAAGTAGCGACGTTCTAATGTCTGTCTAACAAACTTGAGTGGTGCGTTTCAAGGCAGCCAAACGAACGAAAATAGTTAAATAAATAAATATATGTACGTATATATTTATATATACACATATATATATATGAATGTTTCCCTTAATGTCCTTTATTTTGTGAAAATTATTTGAAATAGTTAAACAAAAAAATATTTTTGCTGAGATTATCTTTATCTCGTTTACCATGAGAAGAAATTATTTTAAAATTTATGTTGCATTTGTGACTAGTTTCCCACTTCAGTGCGTGTGCAATTGAAAAGTAAGAGAATTCTCACTCCATTAAATAAGAAACCGCTAAAAGATTTATTGAATTATGTAACATTTTGCAACTTTAAATAGACAACAATTTGCACAGCGTTCAAATGGATATAATCCGATTATGATTATACAAATATTTACAAAGTGAATGTTTGCTATGCTAGTGTCTGCTCAAAATCTGAAACAAACGCCTTATAACAAAAATAAAATAAAATAAATAAGAGTATTGCAAGTTGAATTTAAAATGCAGAATATGCTCAGAATGATTGACAATTTCTTAAATTGTAAAGGAAGACTCTTTGCAGCAGTTGGAACTATAGAATTATGAATGCCACATGTTAAACTTTAAATATACAAACTATTTAAGACTCTTTTTTCGTATAATAATTATAATTATTAATAATATAATTTATATGTTTTCCATTTATTATATAGTATTTTTTACTTTAGAGTGATATGCATACTCTTATTTCGTATAATAATTATAATTATTAATAATAATATTATTTATATGCTTTCCTAGCAACATTTATTATATAGTATTGCTTACTTTAGAGTGATATGCATACTTTGATTTTTTGGCATGTATTATTTATTAGTAATATATTAATAAGAAGGGTCTACTCGAATCGCAAAGATTCACAAAATTATTACATTTGCGATATTATTGATTAATTTTCCATGACATTACGAGAATAGTTCTGCAACTACAAATTTATGGCGATGAACTAAGCATTCAACGAATTCCCCGCTTTCTGACATTTGCATTTGATGTCTGAATTATTAATCGACATTTTTATCTAAAAGCTTTCGGCTTGACGTCATTAGGCTCTCATCATCACTGAGTCATTCGAATATTCTGTAACCGTGTGAGTAAATGAAAGAGTTCTGCGAACATTTATGCTTTTTGTGTGAATATCGGCTTGTTTGAATACATATTCTCTTTTGAAATATTAACATGTTTTAAGACGAAAAAGAGATTCGACTTAATACACCTCGCTTGTGCTGAGATCCGACTACAAAGTATCTGCTCGTCGAGCACTTTGAAGTGGATTCAACTGCTGATTAATACTCAGTAATTTGCGGACTTACATGCGGATTTTTACAGACTTGGCATACGCGGTATTCATAAATAAATCATTTGTCATTATCTGGCTGCCATCATAGAGAATATTTCAGATGCGAGAACTCGACGCACAGGTGCTGATTGACAGCGATTTTTAATTAATCGGGAACTCATAATAGTATTAAATATAAAAGTGTAAAGTGTAAATATAATAATGCTATGCAAGAGGCTACCCGGTGGGGAGTGCTGGACTAGCAATGCACATGTTACTAAATATTAATAAATTAAATATTAAATAATGATTGGTGAATATCAGGTTACTATCGGGAATATCTAATTTATATATAATAATTCCACACACATATGTACATATATACTTCTATCTATGCTGGGTATCTCTGGTTCAGTTATAGATTGTAATAAAGCCTCAGCTGAGTACGTACGTTCGCTGGCAGTTGTTAAATTAATTTCGAGTTTAATTACGTATATTATTTCATTCCTTTGGAGCCGTTTGCTTTTTTGGTTCGTGGGCAACTGGGAAACTTTTTGTGCGTTGTTGGTTTCTACTTTACATTTGTTCACAGCTCACACATTGTAAATGTGTGTATATGTGTGCCATTATACAACTGTATGTAAAATGCCACAACTTCAAACCAGTTCGGAATTTCGGTGCAATAACAAACTGTTTAAAAACTATTTAACCAACTTTTGCTTTGGCTGAAAACTCGAACTCTTTTTTATGTCAGATAAAACATTTCCCATATTGATATTAGATTTGACTTTGTTTACAATAGGATTTTGGAGTTCTATGCGCAATTGTTGATTATTTTCAGATAATAATTGGCTTTATGAGGCTCTGTTTGCCTTAATTAAGTTTAGTTTTCATAAGATAACATTGGCTCACAGGAATTAGTAAATAAAAATTGCATTATATACAGGTTTTACTTTTGATGAGGTGAATACGTTTTTAATAGCACAACAATTTCTCGCAGCATATTAACAACTTTATTTCCTAAGCCAGACCAGAAATATCAGACAAAATTGAAGATTCCATAACTTTATTCATTTTTTGGCCTGTATAAAAACTGTATTTAAATAAATTTAATAATAATAAATTAATTATCAATCAATCAATTATTATTTAAATTAATTATTTATACTAGCAAAAAAAAATTTATAATGGTAAAGAATCTTAAATTTTGTATGATATAAATATAATTATTACTATAAATTTGATATATTAAATATAGAGTCCCTCTGTATTTTAGCCTATCCATTTTTTTAAACATACTCCTGATTCGAATTTCGTATGAAATTCGATATGTGGAAACGGAACATTTATTCGCATATAATATTGAGAAGACATTTCAGCGTTTCATTGCGCTGTTGACTTTATTCCACTTCCATGTGTCAAACTGAATATGCAGTCAGAAATAAATCGTGTTAATTTATACTCGATAGAATATGCTGGAAAATCAACTCTGTTATAAAATACAGAATAGGCTGCAAAATTATATATGAACATACATGAGCAGTAAGTAATCAAGTCTGCTTTGCTTTCTTAGACTAGACTCAAAGCTCAACTGTCAAAGGGTAAGAAAAAAAAAAATATTTCGCATTCCGATATAATAACTTGTTTTGTCAGTTGAATTGGTTGACCAAAGTGTGCGAGAATATGGATATATCTGAAATAAAGGATGTGATTGAGGATGTGTCCTTCAACAGCGACGAAGAGTCTGGTGGCAGAGACGAAGAGTGTGGCAGCAGCGGCAGCAGCAGCGACGGCAAAAGCAACGGCAAAAGCAACGGCAAAAGCAACGGCAAAAGCAACGTTAAAAGCAACGGCAGCAGCAGCGGCAAAGAGTGTGGCAGCAGCGACAGCGACAGCAGCAGCGACGGCAATAGCAACGGCAGCAGCAAAGGCAGCAGCAGCGACGAAGAGTGTGGCAGCAGCAGCAGCAGCAGCGGCAATAGCAACGGCAGCAGCAAAAGCAGCAGCAACGGCGGCAGCAAAAGCAGCAGCAACGGCAGCAGCGGCAAAAACGGCAGCGACAGCAGCAGCAGCAGCTGCGATAACAGTTGCAGTGACAGCGGCAGTGACTCGGAGACGGATAAGCCATCGGCTCCCAAGAAAGGAGGGAAGGCCAGTGCCGATGGCGTACCCGAAGAGACCGATTGCAACCGGGCAGCAAGCCCTGTACCGAGTGCTCTCGATCGAAAGATTGACGCAATGGTGGCGGATTTGGAAAAGCATTGTAGGGAAACGTATAAGGGGAGGCTCCGTTCCGAGTTCAAGGCTGTGATGCCGCCAGTCCATAAGAGGCATTTGGCTGGCCTAGATAGAGTCTTCTGCATCCCGCAGCCTGTGGAGCCGAAGGCGTTCGAGGCGCATAAGTTTCAAAGCGCTCTACTCCCGGATGACCTTAAGGACAGGCAGTCTCGGGATGCCTTCATCTCGAGACTGAAGACAACCGTCCGCTGGCGCCAGTGTGAGGATAAGGAGACAGGCGCACTGTACAAAGAGTCCAATACCCGCATCGTGCGCTGGTCCGATGGCTCGGAGACCCTACACATTGGCGCAGAGGCCTTTGAATTGGTCAGTCATCCTTCGCCCTTAGGGCATGATCACCTGTATGTGCGCCAGAACAGCCACCATTATCTGATAGGTCCGATCAGGGAAAATATGAGACTGCATTCCGACATAGAGTCGAAGTTTGGCCAGACTCATGTGCAGCCGGTCAGCAGCTGTGTGAGCACTAACCCGATGCTTGATCGCGACCGCATGATCAAAGAGGACCAGGCCCAGGAGCGCAGAGAAAAGTTCGAGAAGATGCGTGAGCAAAAGAATCAATGCAATCCGACTGTGAAGCCAACGCGACACTGTACAGCCGGCGACAGCAATTCGGCTGCACTGGCCGCCAATCAGGTTTCGAAACCAAATGATCATGTATTTCGTAAGCCTTTGCTTCCTCCGATCAAGCGACCGGCAGGCGCTCGCATTAATCGCAACACCAACGTGAATGTAAAGCAGAATGAAGAGGACATGGATAACGATGTGCAGGGGAAGGAAAAAGTCGGCCCAGGCATTAAAAGAAAATCAAATGTGAAGCAAGTGCAGCCCAAGCCCAAGCGCAAGCAGCCACCAAAAGCCGTCCTTAATGACTCTGAATAAACTTGACACAAGTCTTCAATGCACAATATTCAAATGCGGTTTCTATTATTGCAATTATGTTTGAGGTCCAGCTCTCGAATAGTCGAGTAGTTGAGCTGTTAAGCAGTTGAACTGTTGAGCTGTTGAGCTGGTACTTTGCAGCCTCTCGAGTTTGCTTCCCATTTGCAGTTAATTAACTAACCCCAACTGCATTTGATTCAAACGTGCTTTACATTTTGTCACCTTTGCCCTAATTAGTGGCCTGCCTCTGCGCCTGCATTCGCTCTCAATATGAAGCATCGCCTGAATTCCAGTGTCCAGTTGCAATATCCAGATATCTCACATTGCCTTTTGTTGAGAGCCGGTTGTTAGGCGTGTAATATTGTTGCGGCCCAAGACCTATTCAATGCCTGGGGGCAGCAAAGGTGAATTTGGCGATGGCTAACGAAACCCAAATTTCAATTGTCATGTGTAGAGCTTTAAAGATGAAGTCAAGTTGTAAGAATTGAGGTAAACAATTATATGGAGTAAAAATTTATTTAATTTCTTAGTCATGTAAACATTTTACCTTCACTCAATTAATTTTAAAAATATTCCTTCATTCGAAATGTCTTAAACAAAAGGAATTCCGTAAGAGATATGAGCTGCTTAAAAGACATAGTTTATAGAAGTATTATATTTTGAATATATTTTGTTATATATTCAAAAATTAACTAAATATTATTCAAGCTACAAATTCGCTATAGGAGTTATAAAAGAGTTTGTGATTGAGTTTGAACTAATGATAGCTTATAAAAATAATCCGCTTAGTGAATTATTTCCATTCGAGTTGCTGCTTGTAAGTAAATTTCCCTTACAAACAAATTGTAGTTGTTGTTGCTGTTGCAATAGGTGCAGTTGTTGCGGTTATGCATCCAATTGTAATGCAGGTGGGCCTTAACTTGTAGCAGACCATAAACTAAACTGTCACCGATTTACGTTGCTTTTCAATTGTGTCCAAAGGATGGGCCAGCTGCAAAGCTCAATGATTTGTATTTGTGCTTGTCGACAAGCTTGTATACCATTATGCTTATCTGCTGGTGGATCCCTCGGCCTTGTGGGTGGCTGTGGATTAGGGAGGCTGTGCGTTCTGCTGATGCAATTTTGAGCATCTGCAACTAATGATGCTTGATTATGTGTTTATTAGACACCAATTTGAGCTGCGTCTCTATGGCATTCAATTTCAGACCCTATTATTGTCCATTCATTGCGTTGCCATGCAATCGATATTATTTTTGCTGGCCTCCTCAATATTTGCACGATCTCTGCAGTGTGAGTGGGTAAGTTTGCGACGCAGATCAATTTACTTAAATGATCATTTACATTAGCTGACTGTAGCTTAAGTATATTATATTCAAAATTTATTGGGCAAATGAAAATGCTCATTATTTTCTGCAGCTGTTCACTTTCCGTTTACATTTTTAGAGCCATAAAACAGAGTTTTAAATTGTAGCTTGCATTCCAAGGATATTTTTTATTTAAAAATATCATTATTTTATTGCGGCATAAGCAGAATTCCGTTGTTACTGTTTTAATTTCAATCAATTTACTTTAGCAAAATAAATAATAAATAAATATTCCGAATTATATATAATATATGAATAAGAACATATATTACATAAACAATAATTGCCAAAAATAAATAATAAATAAATGTTATGATATAGTATATAAAATATGAATGATATTTTAAAGCAGAGTTTATTAATTTGATAATGGCGAAAATTAACTTGAAATGTGCTGAAAGATGGCCTTAATGATGGTTTAACTATTGCTGTTTCAGCAGCTTTTGAAAACAACATTAGCAATATCAATTAAAGTCTACGTTTATGGAACTACTCCCAGTTTCGAAATGGGAAAAACTCTTAACTGGCTTATGCTAAACGTTGGTTTTATGTGTTGATTCAGGGCTATTTGCATTGTTATTGGTTAACTTGATGACTCTAAGGTTTATATGTTGCAAATAAGTGGCATACATTAACCCATCACACACACACACACACACACACACACACGCATACATACTTTTGCTTATGTGAACATCATCATTTTCGCAGACCAGGGCATTTGTGTGTCTGTGTATGTATATGTAGTGTCCGTCCATGCATTCATGTGTGTATATTAGGGAATATATGTATGTATGTATGTATGTATGTATGCTGTGTTAAGCTAACTTTATTCACAGTTTACATACCTAACAGGCATTTAATATTTATGAACAGAGAAGCATGTAATAAAATTACAGGCGACTGCCGCAAGCACAAACGGTTTTGAAATTCTAGCAATTAAGACGGAAAATTACATTAAATTTGCAGGCCAGGCCCAGTGGGCAAGTAATTAAAGGCCATAATAAAGCTTAACTTACACGAATGAGTGTCGTCGGATGCGGCAAGTGGGTGTCGAAGAGATGCGGCATGCAATAAAATAGATTCTTGGCCACGCCACGTGTCAGCTGTCAACGCTGCAATTTGACACAAGCATCGACAAACAGGCCAAAGAAAGAACCGCAAAGCGTGCGTGCGTGTATGTGTGTGTGTGTGAGTGTATTGGTGTACCCGAATGCTAGACTTGTCTTTAGCACGTTGGCTTTGTAGCGTTTTATGTCCTGCGGCTTGCATTATAAAATTAGTGACATGACAGTCTCAAAATCGTCTAATTGTGCCAACATCCTTTCGGGAAATCTGTCTCGCTCTCTCTCACTCTATCCTTGTGTCTCAATATCCCCTTGTATTTCTCTTCATACGGCTCTCTCTTTCTCTCCTTTTTACTTTGCTGTGCAATGTTTTCGTCTTTGTCTTCATGCCTGTTTATGACAGTTGTCAAATTTTAACTGCCCCCCTTCAACAATTTGCAATTACGTAACAATTTTGCTGACATGTGTGTATGTGTGTGTGTGTGTGTGTGAGTGTGTTTTAAGCTAATATTTGTTTAAGTAGATGACGCTTGACTCTAAGAATCATCCAGGCACTGTGGGTCTTTGTTGGCAGCTTTGGAAAATATCCAATTTCTTTCTATCGGATATAATTTCTTACTTTAAAGTAATTTTTTTGTTTCTTGTCATCTCTTAAGAACTTTTTGCAAACATTTTTTATGCTTTCTTCCATTTAAAAGTTATTGTTTTTACAGCATAAAAGTGCAAATAAACCCAATTTGCGGCAGTAAAAAATATTTGCAGCCCTTCTCCTTGGAGTGTACTTTTTATACGCAAATTTGATAAGAGACATCAAGACTGGCTAGCAGACACATTTGAATAAGTTCTTATATAAAGATTCCCCTAAAGTATGCGCTGATTATAAATTTTGCCAAGTTCTATTTAATGAGAAGAGAGATTAGATTTCATTTGATTTACAAAAGGTAAATCGTGGGTGGATTCTGCTTTTGCTAATTGCTCTTGCGATTCATTAACTAACTCTTTAATGGCTTGCACTTTGAGTGATTCGAACTAAGAGCGGAAAACCACATAAGATTTCTAAGCATGCTCCACTGCCTAATTACTCGGCAGTGAATTCGAGCAAACTAATTGATTTAACAGTGGAAACTCATGCAGTGTGCAGAAAACTCCTTTAATTAATACAAAGTCGAAGAGTCGAGCTTTAATGCATTTAAGAGCATTTATAATGGCCAGTCTATGTGGCTGCTGAAGCAATGAACTTTTGCATGCAAACTCAATTTACTAATTGAAAAATCGATAAATCATCATATTAATTGTGACTTATATCCGTATAATTAAAGGTATTGCTTGGTTTGTGAACAGAAAACTATTTGAGTTAGCAAGAATATATTATTATAACTTGAGCACTTGAATCTGCCTGTACTAAGTTGATCATATAATATATGTATATATGTATTAAATATATTGTATATATGTATATATACAATATATATTGTATATATATATTGTATATATGTATTAATATATTGTATATATGTATTAATTAGTCTCCTAGTGCATCACTCGCTACTCATCATATTCACCATAAACGGAATGGTAAAACGTTTATCCCTACTTTCACCAGAAATGAGTCGGCGAGCATATCCGAGTCAACTTGAGTGGGGCTATTTTGCTTTCTGCTAAACACTTTTGATATACAATAATCTCATTCTAGGTAATATCAACATTGCAAGCGAATATTTCTGTAGAATTCTGAATTCAGGCCACTAAGCTGGCATTTGTTATGTCAGTCCCTGATTCCCATAGCTCAGCAGTCTGCATATATTTCGTAGCGCACATAGATATACTTATGCATATATATGTGACAGAATTCTACTGGATTGATATTTAAATAAGCTAAATTTCCAACTCCTATGGGGAGCGCCTCAGTTGGAGCGCCGATCATACATTAGCTTAACATACGGACACCAGGCACATGCTTATAGATATTTGGATAGTTTCAACGTTCAGTAGAGAGAGAGAGAGAGAGAGAGACAGAGAAAGACAGGGAGAGAGAGAGAGAGAGAGAGATACACTCTCCCGCAGCCAACTGGTTCGCTTTATGCGAGTGTATTTAACTTGGACAGAGCAGCAACAGCCACAATTGTTCAACTCTTCAGTTCTAGTTTTTGTCCCAGTTCCAGTTGCAGTTGCAGTTACAGTTGCTAGAGAATGGGAAATGCATTTTGCACAGTTTGCTGTTGACATTTTCGCAGGCAGTGTGGGCAAATTAGGAAAACACAAGTTGCTGTTGCTGTTGCTGTTGCTCTTGTTGTTGTTGCTGCTGCTGCTGCTGCTGATGATGATGGTCAACTGTCAGAGTGTTGGTCCTCTCAGTGTGTGTATCCGTGTGTATGTGAGCTTGTTTACGTGTGCAACTATTCGGGCGTTTGCTTAGCGCCAGCATAAACAGTTGTAACAGTTGGCACTATAAGCCTCGAGAACTGGCCTTTTGCCCGTTTCCGCTTCCGTTGCCCGTCCCGTCCCGTTTGGCGCCGCAAATATCAGCGGTAATTACATAACAAAAGCGGACTCAAACCAAGGCTGAAAA